ATGATATGATATGAATGAGGAATTTTAGATGAAGTTGAGATGTGTGATTTTGATTGTTTGTTGTGGGTTGTGGTTTTTTGTGTTTTTCTTTTGGTTTGAAGGTGTAGTTTTTGGAGGGTGAAGTTGGTGTTTGGTGAGTGATAAAGGGGATAAAGAATTGATGGGCCAACATAACTGAAAAGGAAACAAACAAAACACAAGGCCAGCAGAAGAGGTGGAGTTTGTTTCAACTATTTTATATATTTTTTTTTAAAAAAAAAAAATCTCTTTTCTTTTATTTTATCACCAATATAAAAGAAAATACTTTTAGAATCTAACATTAAATACACACCTTCAAACTAATTTTCATAATTATGGAGATGTTTTACATCTAGTTGAAAAGCTTAACTGATTGAGTGAATTTCAACTTATAGTTTATGGTTGATGTGAGAAAAACTAGCTCATATTAGTTTTAGTTGTAGGGGATCACTTCAGCTAACATGCTGGTACACAGGCCTCTAACAGTTTAAATATTCTTTTAGCATATATACATATTTATAAAATGTCATATTTTAAAAATAATTGAAATAAAAGTATGAAATTTCATTTACTATATAAATATTTATTTTTGTTATGACTATGCGTCTCAAACTGTCTCACCTTAAAATTTGTGCTTTAGATAAGTTTAAGTATATCTCCTTTATTGCAAACTAATAAATTTTATAAAGTTTTCATATCTTGAAAGATGTTTTCAAAACTGATAAGATGTTATATCTAACTTTAAGATTAAGGTGTTTAGTTAGGAAAAAAAAACTAAACCTATTAAATGTTTTGAGTTTTCACATGATAAAAATAAAAAATTTTATCCCTTGAAGCATCCGCAAAAGCGTCATTATCAATCATCAAATAATGTGTAAACTACTCTGATTAAAGGTGATATTAATCGTGTTCTAAACTTGTTTGTTAGCACATTATTATTTGAACATCAATAGTATAATATTTCTTTTCTAAGTAATGAACTTAATTGGCTGAAGAAACTTGAAATGAGAAGACTGTCAAAATGATGTACACTCAAAAACTTTGGAGGTAAAAAAATAAATAGATAAAATAAAATAAAATTGCAAAAAGGTTCAAATAACTGCAATTTTATATATTATTTCCGCTCTATGAAAAAGCGTTATCCATATCTTTAATTTATCCATATCGTGTTGTGACGATGCAAATACAACCAAAATTTCAATAACAATGTTGTGCAGTTGGCAGCTCATAATGTGTGTACAGAGAAAACCAAAATACTTGAAAATGAAATAACAAGATATACACAACTCTTGGACTATCCAATCACTATTTATATTTACAGTTTAAATCAAATGTGGACGATTTTCCTATTATTGAATATATGAATATTCAGTAAACACCATATGTAAAGTTGGGATATTCACCACCATCATTTCATTACAAAGGTATATAAAATCCACAATCCCAAATGCACATGTACGGTCAACATTTTGGACCACCACGTTTCGGTCTAAGAAATATTGACCAAAATAGTTCATTCTAAATATTGGTCGGTAAGGTAATCAAAATCCCACATCGGTTTTTTTATAGCTATGTAGATGTTATGATAGGTGAATCAACAATCCATGCACCTTTGTTGGGACATTCTCTTAATAATACAAAGTTTTCTATTCAACTTACACTACATAAAACAAGACAAATAGTCATGTGAGTTGACAGATAAGAAGACACATGCTCTTAAAAAACACCTACTTATAAAATTCTACTGTTAAGCATGTCTAACGGTTAGGCAAGACAAGACCATGCAAAAGGTTCAATAGACCACGCGCACACGATCACGCCCTCCCCATGCGACGGGCGTGGGCCCGCCCCTTGAGATGCATCGCAAAGTTATCCGCATTCATACAGTCGATCCCACAAAGCTCGCACTTTATCGGCCTCTTATCGACAAAATTCCTGTTTTTACCCTCCAACTCTTTCACCTTGGCCTCATGCTTCTTCCCCCGCAGGTGCATGTTAAGCGCGTACCCGTCGGAGCACCAGATTCCGCACACCTCGCAAGTCGGGGGCTTCCGGAAGTTTCTTCCCACTGCCGAGCTCTTCTTCATCTGCACCCACTTCAGCTTGGCCTTGTGGGCCCGCCCGTTCAGGTGCTGGCTCATGGTGCGGGCGCTCGAGCAGCTCGCCTGGCACAGCTGGCAGAACAGCTCGTCGACCGGTTTTGGGTTGGGCCCGGGCTTTGGATACGGTCCACCGGGCTTTTTGTTCTCTGCTGCTGGATTCTGCTTTGGGCCCGAACGAGGCTTTCGGGGGATGTTGTTGTTCGGGAGGTGTGATGTGGTGAGGAAAGGGTTTGGCGAGCGAGATCGGGTACGGGTTTGGGACGGGCTTGAAGGATGGAACGAGTTGGGCTTTGGGCTGGAAAACTGAGCCTGGATGTGTATGAAGGAAATTAGATAACTTTTTTCTTGTGTTTTTTGCTCCTTTCTAACCGAGAAAAAATATATATATATATATATATATATATATATATATATATATAGTGGCATTTTGTGGGAGTATGAATATTAGTCATTTTGGCAAAATTACCCTTACTACGAAAAACTGTTTTTAGAAATCTGGGATCCGTTAACAAGGAGAAATAGGCTATTATTTCATACTTCTAGAAAAAGTGGGTATTTTTATTTTTTATTTATTTATTATTTTTTTTTATCGGGGACAAAAGTAATTAATCGGAAGTCAAATGATTTGTATGTCTTACCGAAATTTGTCCCATCCGGTTTTGGGTCCTAGAAGTTTCCGCTCGGGTCTGTACCTTTTGCATGGGGAAAGGGTTTGGCGAGCGAGATCGGGTTCGGGCCGGGCTTGTCGGATAGAACGGGTTGGGCTCTGGGTCGGGAAATGGCGCCTGGATCTGAATGAAGAAAATTAGATGAACTTTTTCTAGTAGTTTTTGCTCTTTTTTTTTCAGAAAGTAATCGAGAAAAAAAAAAGAAGAAATATAGCCACTTTGTGCGCGGGAGTACGAATAATAGTCATTTTGACACAACGGTTTTTCTATGGAGCCAACCTTCTATATACAACAAGTAAATCATATCATATTTAATATTTATTTAAGTAATCAGAGAATATGGTATGGTTTACTTGTTGTATATAGAAGATTGGCTCCACTATGAAGCTAAATGTTGGCTTCATAGCAAAACTGTTTGACACAATTATCCTTAATACCAAAAACCCTTTTTGGATATCTGGGATCTCAGAAATGGTTAACACGGCGAAATAGGCTAATATTTCATACGAAAAAGTGGGTATTTTTTTTTTATTCTATTCGGGGACAAAAGTAAATAATCGAAAGTCAAATGAGTCGCATATCTTACCGAAATTCGTCCCATCCGGTTTTGGGGCCTAGAAGTTTCCACTCGAGTCTGTACCTTTTGCATGGGGAAAGGGTTTGGCGAGCGAGATCGGGTTCGGGCCGGGCTAGTCGGATGGAACGGGTTGGGCCGCGGGTCGGGAAACGGAGCCTGGATGTGAATGAAGGAATTTAGAAGGAATTTAGATGAAATTTTTCTTGTGTTTTTTTTTTTGCTCCTTTTTTTTTCCCGGAAAGTAACCGAGAGAAAAAAGATGAATACAACCACTTTTTGTGGGAATATGAATAATAGTCATGTTGTCAAAATTACCCTTACTACAAAAAACCGTTTATGGAAATCTGGGATCCCAGAAATGATTAACAGGGCGAAACATGCTATTATTTCATACTTCCAGAAAAAAGTGGGTAATTTTTTTAAATCAATTCGGGGATAAAAGTAATTAATCGGAAGTCAAATGATTCGCATATCTTACTGAAATTTGTCCCATCCGGTTTTGGGGCCTAGAAGTTTCCGCTCGGGTCTGTACCTTTTTCCATGAGGAAAAACATTAATGCAGTTAGAAGAAGAAGCAGAAGCAGAAGAAAAGCATTCAAATCACACATAATGCATTGTTCGGAAATCCTTTTATTTATTTGTTTTTTTTTTAGATGAAGACGAAAGATGTTACTAGAGAACGAACTTTAGGTGAAGCTGGTGGGTCTAAGTCGAGCAATGGTGCAGTCGAGTTAGCGACAGGTCCAGTGTACGTCCAATCAAAGCTTGGACTTCTGCGTGGTTTTTCCACTTCCCTTTTAGTAGACTGCAAATAATTATTTCAATTAAATAGATATATACACATATATATGTATATATGTTGCAAATATGTATCAGAAAGAATGTTATGGCATTAGTAAAATGTACTAGAAATCTATTCAGTAACGAAATATCAAACGAGCAACAGTAATTTCTCGTGTTTTTCCAAAATGATTAGTAAAAATTGAAGTAAATGAGTAAAGAGGATACTACTCGGTAGGAAATGATGAAATACGGCTTTTTATCTTACCAATTTGCCAGCTTTTGGAGAAGAGATTGGAGCTGTGAAGCCTGGTGGTGCAATTAGATATGGCTCCTGGCAAAAATATTATGAATAATCAGATTAGAAAATGAAAAAAATAAATAAATAAATAAAATGGAAGGCTTCTAATTATGCTAAAGCTCAAGGTAAAACTACTAAAATTATCCTGAAAAGAAAAACTGGATTCAAATTAATGACTCACCTCTTTAACCATCATTTGTCCAATCCTGTTTTGCCTCATTGGAGACAAGCTTCTGTGCCTAGGAGTTTCATCAGGAGACTGCACCTTTCCATGAGAGAAAAAAAAAAAAGGAAAAAATGCGCGAATTAAGTGACTGAGTGNAAAAACTTTAGGTGGCTCGTGGTCGAGCAAGTGAAGATAGCTTAGTGCGCCAGCATTCCCGATAGTCCCTGTGTAAGTCCACTTTCGAGTTCTACGCGGTGGGAAAATCTGGAACTGTTGTTTTTGAGATTGCACCTAATTGGAAAAAAACATCACTTATTATATAACGCAATAACAGAATATCCAGCAAATGTATTAGAAAGCATTATCAGATCATGCATTTTGAGTATTTCTCATGATTTTTATCTTTCTTGTTTCATTCATTTAATCATGTGTAAATGATTATTAGACCACAATTTCAGGGGAAGTATCTGTAAATGATGTGTTAACTGAATGAATGACTGTAAAATCCAGATGCGTTTTACCTCTCTTTGAAATGCTGCTAGTTCTGCTTCTGGTGAGAATTCCAACTTCCCATTTCCCCTCATTTTTCACGTTCGCTCTTGAATCCCTTCGAAAAGGAAGTAAGAAGAAAGACAATTTTGGTTAAAAAGAAAATGAGAGTCTAAAAGCATGAACAGGTACCTTAATGTAATGAGAAATCACAGAAAAATTATCAAAAGTGAGGCCTTGAAATGAAACAGAATCTTGTACCAATGAGTTGGACAATCATGTTAATTGTGTTAGAAATTTCGAATAAAAAAATGTAGTAGTAGAAGAAGTTCACAAAGGACCAAAACACTAAAGGCATGCATATGCATGTATTTACATTTCATAAGAATCATTTGATAGTTTTCTAAAGTGCTTTTCCACTCATTTTTCAATTTGTTTCAGTCCAAGCTCCAAGAAAAGAAAAAATAAATTCAAATACAATATTAATTACAAAACCACCTCTGGGCAGCCTATTATATATATATATATATATATATATATATAAATGACATTTTTCTTCTAAATTACAAATTCACATGAACATAAAAAATTCTAAACATAAGAATCCATAGCCAACATATTATTACAATTTAGACTAAAATACTACCACTTAAATAAAAATGATAAGTAACTAACATGTCTGATAATATTTCTAACATAAGCAATTAGTTGATACACTTTTGTTTCCCGCAAAAATCCAACAATACACGAGCTTAAAAACTCTGATTGATAGTAAAAAGAATGCAAAATGTATCCTTTCTCTGAAAGTAATCACAAAAAGAAAGCAAAAACCAGAACATTCCAACCGGAAAATTTGAATATATCAAGGGAAGTAATTTAGAACGATCATATTACTGCAATTAGAAGAAATGTCACAAAAATCCCGTATCCATATCCGGGCATTACAAAGAGACTCCACACACTGGGCTAGCTACGATTTTTGCATTTCCATGTTGTAATGGCCAAGATAGTCATCTTTCTCTGGTGTATTACTAAATAGGAACTATACAGCATTATGGCCATCAGAATTTTCATCTGGGACACGTTTGGTATATATCAGTTCACCTGTTACTGCAAAAGTAGAAAGTAAATTATCCGAAAATCAAGGCTTACAGAAAAGATAAGTCATCATTTTTGCAACTATGCCAAAATGACAATAACAAGCTACTGAATAGTTTCTGTAACATGTGAATGAAGAAAGATAAAACTGAGAGTTGCAACAATAAACAGCCCTGAAAAATATTCAAAACAAGAAATTCTTGGACTAGGAGTCCATCAAACTCCAAAAGGTTCTTTTGTTCAATCTCTGAAGGATATATGAAATACTCTGAGCTATGAACTTCAACCCCATCTGTGAAAATTTCATATTTCTCAATAATACGGAAATGAAGAGTGGTGATATTCATAGTTTTGCCATTCATACTTTATTCCCAACACAATCATAAATTTGTCATCATTCAAGTCTTCTAAATTCATGTTGAGCCAAAAGGAACAATTTAAGCACAATGTAAATGTAACACTTCAACTGTAAAAAATAGCACCTCCTCCATATTCCACCGGCACTCTGACACATCCTGTTGGCTGCTTTATTGGTCCAAATATAGTTCTTCGTGTTTGCATTGAAATAAAGAAGTGACACAAAAACCCATATCGCAAGCACATTTCTTCACAAAACCCGAAATTACCCTGAGCGGAACTGTTCTATCAGCTTCATTAAACTATACGTCTCAGCATCTGGCCTACACCCATCCAAAATCATCCGCCGGAGGAGATTAGGCTCATAAACCTTGGCCTTCACATACGCCTTAATTAGCGAATTGTACACAAAAGTGTACCTCGTAAAATTACCTCTCTTCAATTCCTCAAACAGTCTCTCGACATTATCCATGTCACCACAATCCGCAAGCATCTCTAGAATCAAGTACGTGGTCTCTAACCAAGGGGTTGACCTTTTGACTTTATCGCTCGTCTCGAATCCCATCCCCAATTCAAGCGTCCTAACGCCTTCTTTCACAAGCCCGGCCCGCAAACAGCCGAGCGCGAGATGCCTGAACGTGATGGAATTTGGCTTGCACATTTTTTTCTCCATGTCTCTATACAACCCAGTGGCTCTTGTAACAAGCCCATTCCTGCAGTGAACACCAATCATTGAATTAAACTGCTCGGTCGATTTTAATCCCTTTTCCGATTCCATCTGAAGCCATATCTCCTCTGCTCGACTGTAATTTCCGGCTCTTCCAAAGGCCTCGATTGCCAGCACATAACTCTTGCTCCTGACATGCGGCAGACCTCGAATTCGAGCCCATGTCTTCTCAAGCTCCTTCTCACTCCTTAGGTAACCGTACAGCATCACGAGAATGTCCAGAGTTGACCAGTTACGACCCGTCATTGACTTCTCGATTTTTTCGGTGTAGGACCCGCACGCAATGTACAGCCTGGCGACGGCATGAGAAACGGCCATGATGCAGTACGTGATCTCATTCGGTTCGACCGAGGCCCGTTTCATGTCGCCAAAGACTCTAACCAAGCCCTCGATATTATGCTTGTCAGCCTCCATCTTTAACAAGATGTTGTATGTGGAGGGATGAGGGATGACTTTATCGGCTTTCATCTGAGTCAAGATTTTGGGGATTGATTTGCGGCGGCTCGGGGAGGAATGGAGAAGTATCAAGCGGTTGAAAACCAGGTATGATATAGGGTGGCCCAATTCCCTCATTCTCCTCATGTAAGCCCGAGAGAGAGTTATGAGGCCTCTGTCTAAGCAGCCGAGCACTAGGTTGTTATAGAGAAGCCCGTTTTGGAATTCAGATGGGATTCGGGAGAAAAGGGTCTCGCCATGTGAAACACCGTGGTGCTTCATGGTGAACTCAAGTAGGTAAGAGTAGTCCAGTTCTTTTGGTCTGTAAGGTCTCTCCCTTATGACCCACTCCATTACCTGATCAAGAAATACAAGAAAAAAGTCCTTCAAGATCTATTCTGACAACAATAATTAAGAGAGGCATGTTAAAAATGCTATAGCGCTAAAATGTGAAGTCTACAACCCTGAAGAAGAATCTGAAAAATAACAAAAAATGTGAAATCAAAACCCAAAAATATTTTAAAAAGAGAAATGACTAGAAAGATCAAAGTTTTGCTCATTTTGACAGAATACTTTCCATTGAAAGGAGGTTTTCATGCAAGTTATGTCCAACCAAGAATATCCAAACCAAATGGATCCCAGCATTTTCCAGTCTCCAAAAATTGAGTATGCATGAAAAAGAAGCAAAAAAATAAAAAATACAGTGCACTCCGTCATGCAAGGAAAACCAAAGCCATTGCTGATCAAATTTGCAAAGCTTCTCCCCGGAACCTTTATTGGCTTAAATCAGCATAAAAAAAGGTCAATGGTCCTGGAGAAACAACACTGGATATATTTAACTGAAATGAAGCATTTTGTCAAACACCCCTGGAGCATGTAAATTACGAACAACTGACCTCAAGGGCCCGCTTACTGGACTTGAGGCGGCGCAAACGGTTGATAGTGTGAAAAATATCGCCACCGTGGATGGGTAGCCCATCGCCCATCCAGCTCTGGAAGGCGGTGGCCACCGACTCACCTTTCCCTAATTTCTCAATCCTCAAGCTTAGGCTATTTGCTTCTCCTTGTGCTGTTTCTTCTCCAGATTCCAACGAAATTTCTCTTGCATGATTTAAGGTGCCGTCTTGTGATGTTAGAGTGCAAAAACTGAGAGTGGGCCGAAAATCTCTGTGGAGCAGAAAAGGTATCCCAAATGTTCGACGTATTGCTCCAAAGGCCCTTCTTTCTAGAAACACAATGGCTGCAGCTCTCATGCTTCGACTGATAAGGGAAAATCAAATGCCATCAAAAGCTACCGAGAGAAAATGAGAAGCAAATTCGAAAAATGGCTGTTCAGATAATGGAAATTTGTTCATCTGATGAAGTCATAATTCTTTCAACCCCTGTTTGCTTTCTGGGATTAGGCAGGATATCCCGCCTTATCCTGACTTAATACCATGTTTGGTTGCTAGGATTCCGGCCCTGGATGGACTGCTCGACCCGGGATAAAAATTGCTATATCCCATGAAATCGGGATAAGTCCATCCCTCCTTTTTGGGATTACACTAATCCCAGCCTTGGTAAAGTCCAATTTACCCTCATTTATATCTTTTTCGGATGATTTTGACTCTCCCTAACACACAAATTACTACCCTGCCAATATATAATCGAAATACAATGCCCAGAAATTTATTTTGCATCTACAGATTGTTCGCTTATATCCTCATGGAAAATAATTTATGTCTGACTCAATGCCATCGTATGAACAATGCTGCAGTAAGACACTTCATTAAGACTTTCAAATGCTTCAATTTAGTAATGACAAAAATAAACCTAAGTATACATGATTACAGATTACCAACAACATCAAACCCAATGGTGCATGAACATCCACATATTTACATAAATAATATCAGTAGCTTAAAATGTTTATCAGCCTCAGACAATTGATAATGCTAGCATAGCCAATTTCATTTCAGTCAGCAAAATTTCCACCAAAGCAGCTTCCTAAATCACACAGGACATGAAATTGTGTAAACCCGTTTGTACCTTGATAAGAACGTTCGTTGCAGGTGCTTTGAATTGCTCAAACACTGTCGCGCGCCGTACTCGTCGTCGACGGCGACTGCTACAATGTCGGCAGAACTAGGGCTTCCAGACGAAGAAAAAATCGACGCCTCGCTGGTTGTCCGAAAGTCGGTAGAACCAAGGTGGGTTGGTCGAACTGTCTTCCAATTGTAGAAAATAACCCGGTACCTTGGTGGTCGGCCAGCATGCTGAATTCGTTGGAGTATCGCCGATAGTGAAGAAGACGACAGTTTCTGGCGAAATTGGGGAAAAATGATGGGTTTTGTGCTGATAAATTTCATAGGGGTAAAAATGTCTTTTGAACCATTTTGCTTGATTTGGACTAATTTATACATTTTTTTTCTTTTTAAAAAATTTACATAACAAACATTGCATTAAATTTATCCAAACCGTATAATCCTTTACATTAGCACTATTTAGTCCAATTCCATCCCAGAAAGCAAACATCGGCTGGATAAAATCACGAGGCGTTGCCCAAGATGACAATACGCATGACGAATAGCTTTATATTCTGCAATTACTTTCCGTAATTACCAAATTTGTCATATTTAAATGGTCCTTAAATTAGGGCATCCACATTGGTTTATTTTTTTTTTTTATCCATTCAATCAAAAAGTTACACTCTCTCTCATTCACATCATCTTTTCACTAATTCTCTCTTCATTTAAACACACACCCACATTCATATCCATTCATTTAAACTAGTGCGTAGCTCGTGCTATGCACAGGTAACCAATATTAAATAATATTAAATTAAAGATAAAAGTAAACAATATTAACTACTAATTATAAATCAAAGATATAGGTAAATAATATTAAATAATAATTATAAATTAAAGATATATGATTAACATGCGATGTAGATATAGTTTACTGTATAACACAATCAGTGTTCTAAAAGTCGTTAGGCGTTCGACCAGCGCCTAGCGCCTAGAGCGCCTAGGCGGGGCTTAGTCGGGATCCAGAAATCAATATTAAATACTTTATTTTTTATTCATTTTAACTACCTACAAAATAAAATTATCTCAACTTATAATAAATTCACACACCAAAGTCCAAATAATAATATTAATATATATTAAAGAAAATATCAAAACAAAATAATGTAATTAGTATTTTAAAAAAATGAAATATTGTTGTCGAGCCCGCCTAGGAGCGCCTAGGTCCGCCTATGCCCGCCTAGACGCTGCCTAACCGCCTGACCGTTGATCCCGCCAAGCTCGTCTAGGAGCGCTTAGGGCCGCCCGACCGATTTTTTCTGCCGATTTGCGCAAATCGAAGGCGCCCGGGCACCGCCTAGGCCAATTTTTAGAACAATGAACACAGTATAAAATTATATTGTATATGAGAAAATTAAAACTATATGTTTAAAATATTAAAAACACCAAAAATATTATATAACATATGCAAAAGTATATAAAAAATTTTATATTATTATTGAAAGATGTGAAGTCACCCAAAAATTTTTTAAACTATTTGTAAGGAAACATAAAGATGAGAATCCACCTAAAATTTTTCTAAACTATTTCGTAGAAAACATATCTAAAAATATATAAAATTATGTAGATATACAAATAATATGTAAAATAATTGTTTAAACAATATATTTAAAAGTATCTAAAATATTACAGGCTTATAGGCTTAAAGAAAGATATTATGTCACGCCATGCATAGATATAGCTCCTAATAATAAAGAAATATTAATCACTCTTTATTAACACTTATATGTTAAATTAAATATATGATATACTCAAATAGCTTAATATATATATAGATATAGTTTCATTCATTCTCCAAATAATATATATAGTGAGTTCGATGATTGGATAATAATTATAAAACATTTTTACTTATATGTTTATTCTTATTTTCTTTATTTAATTTTAATTTTGACTAAATGAATAAATTGTAGTTAATTTTCATAAATAAAGAAAAAAATTAAAAAAAATTTAGAGGATACGTAACATTAAAGAGAAAAATTCCTTTTTTTTAAAAAAATATGTTACGAATTTTCATTAGTAATTATGAATTAGTTTTTTTTTAAAAAAAAAACAAATATGTTACCATATAGAAGGGATGAGATTTTTTAAACAGATTTATGCATAAGAATGGGATTTAAAAATCTTTTAAACTTGTCAGAGGCGGATTTAAACATATGTGAGATTTTCAGTATGTAAGGGTTTGTAATGAGATTTTTTAAACTTATCCAGATTTATGCCAATGAAATTTGTAAACTTGTTGACCTTTATTCAAAGTATGTTATGTTAGATAAAAGGATCAAATTTTTTAATCTGTCGAGATTTATGCAAAATAATAGGATTTTGTAAGCTTGCGAGATTTATGCATGAAGTTAATTAATTATTATTGAATTTTTGAAATCTTACCAATTATAGTATGTATTAATTATTACAAAATGTTTCTAGCTACTATTTTTGGTAAATAGTAATTCATTTTATATATAGATACATATATGGGATCCATTATCCACTCATTCAATATAAATTTTAATATTCTATTCTTAATAAAAATAAAAATTTAATATTTTTAAATTATAATAATAAATTTTAAATGCATGAAAATAAAAAATAAAATAAAAAAACACTACAAGACCAAAATAACTTAAATTAAGATTATACAAGAAATAAAAAAAAAATATCATATTGAGAAGTGTAATATAGATAAAAAATGAATTAAATATAAAATTAAAAGATAAAAAAATTGAATAAATAATTAATTTAAAAAAGAAAAGAAAATAGAAAAAGCAATGAATGGCGTTCAGCCGGGTCCACAAATTAATGGATGAGCTACATCCATCCTGAATGCCACCCTGGCGTTTAAACGCCCAAATTAATGGGGCGATGTAGGTGCCCTTATATTATAATATCAAAAAGTGAACGAATTACAAAGAATTGTGCAATTATTATAAAATTATTTTTAATGTTTTCAATATAAATAAATGAGCTTTAAATATTTTGAGTATGCATAAATTATTGTAACAATTAGCTAAGGCAATTGAATGTTTCACATTATCAAAATAATTAATAAAATTAGGTGTATTTAAAATATATTAAAATTTAAATACCAGTCAAATTGGGTTCAACTGTTAAATCAGTTGCTTGATCGGTTCGATAACCTATCCCATTTTCCAAACTTTGGTAAAATATATATATATATATATATATATATATATATATATATAGACAATTGCTTTGCTTCTAGAAAATTTTTGTTGTTGCATTTTCAGTTATGTGACTGTCCATTTGTACGTGCCCAATACAGTTACAAATTATGAACTTTCACTTAATTTCACACCAATAAATAATCAATCTCTAACTGTTAGAAAAGATATTGCTTGTACAAAGGCATTATTCTGGAACACATTCCTATGTTGTTCTACTTGTCCTCCTTAATCTTCTCCTATTTTCATATATTTTTTACTTGTAAACTTAAGTTTTTCGTCTCTTTTCTTAAATATGGTGCTGCCATCCAACTTATTGCTATAATCATAAACCCACTAAAATGATACCTTTATCTACGTAGAATCTTAAACTATTTTACTATCCAATTTTATTTTTTTTTTCCCTACCATTTCATTAATTATAAGATTCTTCTACAATTTCTATCAATCTTCAGATCGGATGCAAAAGAGGTATGTGAAAATTTTGCTTTTCTGTCCAAAAACTTGATCAAGTGGTTCAGCTAAAAATCTTTCTTTGAACTTTGCAAAAATGACCGATCCTACGTAGGTGGGGTCTTACGTAGATTTAAAAAAAATAAAAATAAACAAAAATATAGCATTTCAGTGAATATACGTCTTTTTTTTTCCGAGAAAATACAATGAATCGACTCATATAACCATTAAGTCTCTTCTCAATAATGTTTAGTCTTTTATGTTGCAGAATTGCTTCATTAGATGGTTTTATTAAGTTGAAAACAGAAGCTTTTGCGCCTAAAATCATTGTTTTGTCCATTTGAGGATAAATGTATATGAAAAATAGCCGTTGTTTCTGAAAAGATAATGTATATTCATTTTTCCATTTCTCCATCTAAGATCACATAAATAGAAAAATGTTTATAAATTATTTTACACATAAAATGACTATTATTATTATATTTAAAAATGGCTATTATTATTATTTTTAAAAAATGGCTAAAACCAACCCATTGTGTCTAACCAAAAGTATTACATTCAACAAATAAAAAAAAAAAAGGAGGTAATGTAATTTTGTCAAAATTATATCACGTATACCTATACCTAAGCAATAAAAAGTGTCATTTTTGTAGAGGGAAAACAAATATTTTTGGGTTATTATATGATCTCATCGCAGACTTGTACTTCTTGTACAGTAATTTTTTTAAAATGTTCCTTTGCATTAGAATTACTTGTCATTTTAGGATCATATATTAATCATTTGTTCATGGTTTGATGGGGTTTGATATCATGATAACTGTTCATCTTTTTACAACGGTGATATTAATAAGATTACTAGATAAGGAAATGAGATAAACAATCTCTATATATAAACTTGCAAATTTGACAATCTTTAATTTCCTTGTTTATGTATATATATCTGCAGGCTTTTGCAAATTTTAGTTGTTCTTCCACAATGTCTAGGCTGTCAATTGATACCCCAATGAAACTCAAGAAAACGAAGCCGAGAACCAACTACCTACGAAGAAAATCAACCGGCAACTTTACTATCAACTCGAGCCTAGCTCAAATCCGACAAGCCAAGTTCCAGTACTCCAAATTATCTCAGAGCCTCAATTGGCTCGTGCCACGATTTTTGCAAGTATGGCATAAAACGAGCTCTCCCGATCAAACCATGGCGGCCGGTGGGTCAAAAGCTCGACAAAAATGGAAATGTCATGCTGTTACCACCACTATCAGATGAAAATCCCAGAAGAAAAAAGATTTTAACATCTCCAAGACAACACCACCAAACTAATGTTCGGGTAAAACCGGAACCTCCCGAAACAAAAGATTCATTCGACAAACTGCCGAAAAAGAACTTCTTGAAAAGTTCGAGTAATAATGCACGTATAGACACAAGAACACCCAAAACAAGCAAGAAAAGCAGCACTTTCCCACCCGTAAGTGGTCCTTCGGCTTTAGCCTTGAGTTCGAATATCAAAACAAACAAAAACTCCCGGAAAAAAACTCCTCACTCGGAGATCGAAAACTGTGCCGAGAAAAAAACCAGTGTTGAAGATGTTCCGGAGAAGATTATTCATGTGATCGAGCCAAGAGATGAAAACATTGCCCAAGAAAGCTACAACTGCACTGAATTTACTACTTTGACATCAAATGAGAACCAGAATTCAAACAGGGAAAAAAAGGCTACAAGAGGTTTGAGTATAATTATATCCGATGATGCAAAGGATATTGCAACCAAGAAGCTGAAGTTTAGGAGAGGGAAAGTTCTCGAAGATAAGTTAGCTCATAATAAGAAAAATGATGATGAAATGAGTATTCTTAGGCACTGAGCTGTGAAATCAAGAAATGTGAATTCGGTGTTGATGAACATTGTAATTGAAGAGACGGCTAATAAACTGGTAAAGAGAAAGATGAGTAAAGTGAAGGCTCTGGTTGGCGCTTTCGAAAGTGTCATCAAGATTCAAGATTCTGAAGTGTAGATTAGAGCACGGTTATTTTATTTAGTGCCCGAGATGTTAAAAAAAATAAAAAATAAAAATGTCCTAGATTAGGGCCAAAGAGCAAGAAGCAAGGCAATGCATATAGCTAGGTGATATTAGTAAGAGTTGGGTTAAGTACACGGTTCGAGAAAGAAAGAACTCTATGTATTTCTTCATCACTTTGCTGTGGAATGTCACTCATTAGTTTCAGCACAATAATCAGACAAAATCATTATCTTGTCTTATACATGACGAGTCATTTAATGATAGTTTATAAGATTTGTCGCCAAAATATAAACGAAACGAAAAAAATGGTATATGAACTGAAACCCAGGGTTTGAGCCAAACAAAACATACCTTGGATTCAAATAAAAAGATCGATCAGATTCTAACACAGTAGCTAAATTTGAAGGAATCCATACAAAAACCAAAAGATTCTAACATGTTTCAAGGCATACATATAATATAAGGTCCTACAGATAGACAGACCCGAGTGGCAAACAAAACAACCCCATAAAGCTACAAAGTCGAGCAAACTATTGGAATCAAGAAATGAACCAAAACCCAAAAAGGTTGTTTTTTTTCTCGAAAATCCATCGAGTTTCTTCAAGCACCATCGTCCCTTAGGAAGATATGAATCTTCAAAAAAAAATCCAACCAACCAACCATTCATTTTCCGAGGGATTTCTTACCAGAAGACAAGTGATGCAAAAACGAGGCCAATGTAGGAGCACACGAGGATGGTTCGGGTGAGTCGAGCTCCTCCATCACTCAAGTCGGTGGTGGGGCCCATGCCGGTGGTCCCACTTATCGAACCTCCAGTCGAAGGGGTTACGAAAGGTCCTGTGCCTGTGCTTGTGCCTGTGCCCGTTCCCATGCCGGTGGTTGGTGGAGTCATTGTAGTGGATGTGGAGCTAAAAGGGGAAATAATGAATTGCACATAAATATATATTGGTAAAATATAAGATTAAAATGTTATATATACCAAATAAATATGCTAAGACTATGTTTGGTAATCAAATAAGCTAACTTATAGCTTATCTAATTAGCTTATAAGATTCTTGTATTTAAATAAGTTTCATTTGGTAGAATGAGCATTTTTAAAGAAGCTCGAGCTTATCTCATAAGTTTATTTGGGTAGCTTTTCAAATAAGCTCGTTGAAATTTTTATTTCAACTAGTTTATCGGCTAATTTTACCAAACACTTTTATCATATAAGCTAAGTCATAAACTATAAGCTCGAAAATCACTTATATATTCTATAAGCTAGCTTATCAGCTTCTTATTAATTAATTTTATCAAACATAACCTACTCATACACTCATTCATATGTGAATTTTGACATCAAGGTGTGGAGTTATACGGTGAATTAATTCAATTTTAAGGTATTTAAAAACCGTCTATCGAGTATCGAGCTACTTCTCTCGGTTGGTAGGAAGAAGATTTTCACCAATCAAGAAACCTCTAATATATCCTACAAATTTGGCATCTCTTCTTCTTTGAAATGAGTATCATCTGACCTGTTTCTCTAAGTTATGAATCGAAATGTTTTGACTTTTGTATGATCTTTCCTAAGCCGATTTTCAAATGGCATTCATATATATAAGCATATATAGTCAAGACTCAAGATAAATTGAAAAGAGCATATTATAAGCTATTTTCATCTTTGGCCACAATGTACGATTGAATTTCCTTTAAAAGGGGCTCCTTTCACCCTGATAGGAAACATCATTATGGTCATAAAAGAAACACTTATTAATCTTCATGCTGGTATTTTGATCAAATTATCTTCAATAATGAACATTTTACAATTAGGTCTGTAGGCTGGCCTAATTACTAGGCCGATATACTATTTTTACAAATTTGCATTCTTTATGAAATATCATATTTTAAATAACAATATAAACAGAAGTAAAAAAAAAAATGATAGTATAAACATGCATTTCTTTTACGAATTATGGCAGACTGCCAAACAATTAAGCTGGTCCATACAAGAATATTAAATAACATTATTCATATTTTCTTATATATATCTTTTATATCAATTATTGCTTCAAAAAGATTATATCGAAATACCACTTTTCATAAGTCTCACTCAAACAGAAAGACGGCCCCAATAATGAAATATCCACCACTGCTTTTTGACCATTGGTACCAATGGACCAACCTTAAAGAGTAAAAAAGGGGTTAAACAAAGTAAAAAGAGGCCTTGGGTTCTCTTTTTGCCAATTATTGCATTTACCTCATCTTAAGATTGTGCATAACGATTGCTGATTTTGTTGTAATAATAGAACCAATAAGTATAAGTGAAAGGTGATAAAAGTATTTAGTTCATCTGAAAAGAAATAAGGACAAATAAATGAAATAAAATAAAAGTACAACTAAAACTAAACTTTGGGTCCGAGGGTAGGACCGTACCATTGACTGCAATTATCAGATTTTTTTTACCATTGAATCGATATATATGTGTAGTGTATGTATTAATCCAACAATAAAATGCAGTCATTGTGTGTTGAAATTTTCCCTTTTGGTCTTGATTTGAAATATGATCACAAGACCACACTCATGTCATGAAGAAAAGAATGGCTAATTACAGAAATAATTTAAATAGGAACTTTAAGAAAATAATTAATATAATTTATAGTTACAAAAACCCCTTTCATAGTTCATAGTACAGTAAGAGTACTATAAAAATTCATAATTATAAATAACCTCTTTCATATTTCATAAATGTATAGGGCTCATTAATAAATCAATTTCCATAAGTACAAAATAATATTATTATGCCTGCAACATTATACTTATTTTATCAACCAATAAGATACTATAACTTCACATAAAATATACTAGTACAGAGCCCGTGCGATGCACGGGGTGCACAATTTTAAGGCTATTTATCCAGGCTTATAATTATATACATGAATAAAGAAAAATGTACGGGATATATATAATACGTGACCCGTGCGAAACACGAGATATATTTATTTGGAGAATATTATATTATAAGATACAATATTCAATAAAAGTTTATTTGGAGAATATTATATTATAAGATGCAATATTCAATAAAAATTTATAATACGCAAGAAAATTGTACAATGTCCAATAAAAGTTTTATAATATTCAAGTGGAATCTTAAAGTCTCTTGTACATTAAAATAATATTTTAATCAATGAGTTTCCTTTCCTTGTAGCCAAATTGTGAATGTGATTTGAGGAGTACAACAAATCGATATATAGCTGACTTGCTTTTTTCATTGTAGTTTTTTTTCTTTTTTTTTATAATGAATTTAAATATATTCTAAAATATAGCAAAAATTAATTTTTTTATTACAATTAGGAATTTTACTAAATATAAACTCTCAATTTATGGTGTTAATCAACGTTTAAGTCTAAAAAATTAGGAACGTTTACCTCTTTTAATCAACGTTTAAGTCTAAAAAACAATAGAATTATTATAAGTTTTTTTTCTACATCTTTTAAAACATTAAATATGAGCATGTTAGAGCTAGCTTGTAAAATAATTAATATATTATCTCACTAAAATATTTATACTAATAAAAATTTAATTTTAGCATATAAATTTATCTCTTGATATAAGAGAAAGTAATAGTTTTACTTATTGTTGTTCACCATATAATATTTAATTATTATTTTATTATATAATAAAAAAAGAAATATTGTTAAATAGTGTAGTAGAATTGTTATAAAATTATATGATTTTTTTTTTTACAATATGGATTTAATATTTTTTTATGATTTGATGATATAAACAAATCTATACTTAACATTGACAAATAAAACAAATAAATACTTTAGTAAGTATTTAATGTATATACTAAATAGGAATATATTTGGTATAATCAAATACCAAATATAATCAAATTATACTTACCTTTTTAAAATAAAATAAATAAATAAATCAATTAAATAAATAAAATATTATTATACCAAAATAGTAATGGCATTTAATGCAGTTGACTTTTCTGGATAGTAAATCTAGTAAATAGAATCTCCTTTTATATAAGTATAGATTGTATAATACGTAAATAGTAATGCAATAAATGTTGTTGACTTTTCTTTATACTAAATCCGATAAATGGTATACCTTTTAATATAAGTATAGATGATCTGGAGATAGAAACAAACAAATTAATAGTCACTTTCACATGCACATGTCCTACACCTCTACACCATACTGTCCAGGTGGACTATCCATTATATTATAAAAAAGAAAAAGAGACTTAGGAAAATTTTCTACATTCATATTAGAAAATAATAGAATTACTAATACAATTTCAAGAAGTATCATACAAGGCATCTTATATACTAAATCATGTACTGTTTTACATAATTTTAAAATATCATAATTTTTCAGGTTAAGCATGCAAGAGATTTACTTGACACCACATATAAATGAAATAATATACAGTATACATATGTAACTATGTGAAATAAGTAGTAATTTATCGGTACCACGCATACAATTAAAGGACCAGAGGCATATATAAAACTTTAACTTCTTAAGTATAAACACTAAACTACTAAAGCATCACAGATATATTTGTTTTTTACATAGTTCAGTTTTGCTTTAACTTCTTAAATGTAATACAAAAGCATCACACAGATATACTTGCTTTTTACACAGTTCAGTTTTTCATCTAATTTAGGTAAACTGGGACAGTTCAGGTAATTGGAATGGTTTGCAATAAACCTTTCATCAACCGATTAGACAAAGCTCTATTTATTTTCTTGTACCTTTTCTTTTCTAAGGAAGTTACATTAGAAGTCATAAGTAAAATTTGTTTCTATATATTTATATGGTAATTAATTATGATAGATTGATAATAG